AAAAAAAAAAAAAAACCTTTTCATATTCCCTCTTTAAAAGAGTCCATTAAAATATTTCAAGACTAAAAACTCTCTCTTAAAAAAAAAAGAAGAAAATGTAGATGGAGCTGTCTTCTATACAAACAATCAAGGTATTTCCCCAACAGAAAGTCTGGGAAAGCCAACTAAATTTCAATGGAAATACTTTATAATGATAGCATTTGCAATTGGGATCGGATGGCTGCGCTTTGCCACAATTGTGAATGGAACTGTGGGATTCTTAAAAAAAAAATTGCAATAAATAAATACTTAGTCTATGCATATATATGAATAATTTGATTGTTAAAAAAAAATACAAGCTGAAATGAGTCGACGCATTTGCGATTGTTGTCGCAGCCAAATTGAATGCGCAATTTTGTTGCGCAGTGTTTGCCGCTTGGCTGGCTCCATTTGAGCCTCGGGGGCATCCATTGATATTTTTGAATAAATCTCATTGAATTGTTTGACATTTAGCTGCACAATGCACAATTTACTTTTACACACATACACACACACACACACATACACATGCATTTATTGATATGTGTGTTTGTGTATGTGTATTTGTATTCTATAGCAATTTGATTTTATTTTAATGCCGCTTATGCAATTATATTGTTCTGTGAGTCAATTATTTGATTGCAAGTTAAATTCATTGGCTTTGTTTACATTTGAATTTTTCGTCTTCTTCTTCTTCTTCTTTTTTTGCTGGCCTAAAATGTTGATTCGATTTATGTGTTGGATTTGACAAGCGACGTTTGCTAATGTCCAGTTGACAACGACAAAGACACAGAACACAGGTTGTGTGTGCGGTTGTATGTGTATGTGTATATGTGTATGTGTGTGTGCTGTTGTTGTTGCTGGTATTGTGTGAGGTCATGTAGCAAAATGCTATCCATTTATGCTTTTAAAAAGTGCAATCTATCTTTGTTACTAGACATAACAGACACACACACACAAACACATAGACAACACACACACACACACACACACACACAGGCACACACACATGCAGTGCAGCCACAATGACAGCCTTATTTTTGACACTTGGTCCTGTTAGCGCTTGGGAATTTAGGCGAATAAAGGGCGTACGACCCATGGCAGGAGGCGTGGCTGGGGGCTGGGAGGGCTGGCTGGCTGCCCAGCGGCTTTTACTCGTCATTTTCGTGTGCTGTCAGCACAATTTTCATTTCATTTATCTTCATTTTGCGCACCGCATAGAGCCAGCTGACAGCACGAAGAAGTTGAGTCTAATTCGTTAATTTTCCATACCATAAAAATGAATTAACGGTATTTTCAGCATTCATTATTATTTTCGTAGACGGGCGTAAAATATTGGGCCATAAAACGGAGCGAACGACATGCGGCACGCGTGCATTGCTCTCCTGGTCTTCTTCTTCTCTTTCCTATTTTTTATTGCTGCCTGGACACACACACATACACACACACACACATATACACAGAGAGCATTTTTTAATGGCAGCGACAAAAATGTAAATTAGTCGCAAAAAATAAAGGCAGGCAAACGAATATAAATTTTGTGACTGAGAACGAGAAAGGGAGAGAGAGAGACAGGACGAGGGCGAGAGTGAGAGCGGAGGAGCGGGTGGCAGGGGGACAAGGGCAGTTGTAAGAGCCGATAACACGTTTGCAATGTTGAAACAAAAGTAATTTGTGGCCTGCACATAATTCTCGTTGACTCTCTCTCTCTCACTCACTCTCTGTGTGTGTGTGCGTGTGTGTGTGTGTGAAAAATCGCCACACTGGGAAATAATTGCAAATGAAGCAAGCGAGAGTGTGAGCCGTGTGGCGACAGGCGAAAAAGTGTAGCATACTTAAGAGCGCCGGGCATAAATCTCAATTAAGACATTAAGCAACACTGAAAAGCAGTTTTGGACAATGCACGGTCAGTGCTAACCGCAGTCCAGGCAATTCGCTAATGAGTCGGCTAAAGGCCGCACCTGCAAATAGCTTTCGTATCTCCCGATTGCATTATGCATCCATGAGACTCATTCGAGCAGCTGCTGCCACTGCAACTGCAACTGCAACTGCGGCTGCAACTGCGGCGGCAATTCACTGGTCGAACAAAAGCCGTAAGCCCCGGCTATGGCACTCTTAAAACCTTACAAATAACAAAATTACCAGCCAGCAGGAGGTGCCTGAGCTGGGCAGGGGCAGCAATGTGAATTAGGAATTCAAATGCACAGCAGCAGCTGCGTCCACAATGCAGAGGATATAAGCGTGAGAGTGTGGGAGGAGAGGGAGAGGGAGAGGGAGTGGCACAGATTGAGCTAGCAGATTAGTTTGCAGCACTTTAGATGCCATAAAGAAAAAAAAAAAAAAAAAGTACCGAATGCTGTTGAAAGCAGTTGCTAACTATTAAGCTATGCATATTCGCTTTGCCTCTCGCCCCTCCCCCTCTCACTATCTCTCTCTCTCTCTCTCTGTTTGTTTCTCATTTTGGCCAGCTTGTGTCCTTGTGTGTGTGTGTGTGTGTGTGTGTGTGTGTGTGTGCTTAGGTATGCAAATTTGAGCTCTTGAACATCAACTACATGCAGTCAAAGCCATTTGA